TCTCAATATTTTACCACTAAATAAGAAATCAAAAATATTTTTATATGCTTCAATTGGTTCAAATCTATTTTAAAGTGAAAAAATAGTTTGATCTACTCTACATATATAACATAATCAACTCTAAAGATTCTTCGAGGGACTTAGTGATTTCGTTATCCATATTTTCATCAAATTGTTTTTTACGAAAATTATATTTATATTCATGTCATATGCAATTGATTTAGTAGAAATCATAGCACTCATAGTACATATTTTTATTTATTTTTTAAAATAATATATATAAGTAATTGCTTTTTAAAAATGGGGGCCCCAAAAAATATGGGGCCCCAAGCGATGGCTTTAGTGGCCTAGGGGTTAAGACGGCCCTGTCCACGTGTTTAATTGAAATGAAAAAGACTATACAAATTCAATCGTCAATAATTTCAATACTCTTCGTATCGTAGCTATATTTAATTGAATGCCGAGATTATATATGCGAATATGTACTAAAAGAAGGAAAAATTATATGAAATAACAAACTATTAATTTAAATTAAATATTCTGATCATAGTTTCTTTTATTTGTAATTTGTATCAAATATTCCATATTTTTTGTCATACCATTTGTATATCGAAATATACAAATAGACTCATTCGATACATATATGTTGTATGTATGTAGTAATTTTGTTTATATACAATTACTGTGTTTTAGTTTGTATACCGAAATATATAAATACAAACATAAAATTTGATATGGTCACTATCATGCATTATTATGGATAATTGGATATATGTATCAATAGGTTCGGCTTTGTTTTTTAAAGTTTATCAGTATAACTTATCGAGTGTCAATTTTTAAATATGCTAAATTATTGTAGAACCATTAAGATATTTACTTATCAATTATCGGTCATTGATCGTTATCAGATCAATTATTGGTTTAATCGTTAAACTTCAACAACAAAAAAAAGTATTGAAAATCACTTAGAAACAAGGTGACAAATCGAATGAACCATGCACATGAGTTGATAGATTGTATTTTGCTCAAAATAAACACTGACATTGTAGAATAATCGAGAGTTTATGACAACCAAAAATAAAAGTATGAAATTAAATTCTGAACTTTATATACCAAATGGTAAAAATATAATCTATTAATTTGCTATTGGATTATCGATTAACCCTTAAAGAAAATCTCTAATAGTTAAGAACCGATAATTCATTAGTAAAATAATCAAAACCATTATCAAGAAGATCCGCTAAACCAATAAAAAAAAAAATCTTCAAATTATCGATTTCAATTTGATATTGAATAGCCCTAAATACTAGAGCAATGAATCAAACAAATTTCTATTATCTATTATATAGAAGAGCCAAGTTGAGGATGACCAAGGGTAAATTTGTCATTTCATAAATATTCTAGAATGTTTGTTTTTATGTAATGGCATCAAAAAAGTGATAATAGATTTATAATGATAATATAACCAAATATCTTTTCTTAAATGCCATGTGTATCCTAATGATGTGACATTTAATATGGACCCACATTTTCAATTACATTTTCTATAGATTTTTTTTTCTTTGTTTTTTTGTAGTGTGAAATTTCATTAAACCAAAAATATCTATTAAACAATTGCATTTTAGTAATTTTAATATCATTTAAGGGCGAAATAATAATTGTATAGTTAATGACCAAAATGAAAATCTAGAAGAATCCATACATGTCTTTACTTTAAAAATTAGCCCATAAAGATATTTTTATAGTTGTGTTAAAATTAAGAGTTTCTATAAATTATAACTTTTTACAAACAATAATAAATGATAAGCTTGTTTTGACATGTTTTTGAAAGAAAATTTTGAACTAATTTAAAATAAAATGTGTTTGAATAGTTAATATTTTGTTCCTAAAATACTTTAAAGGGTTATTGCGTAAACATATTTTTAATATTATGTTACATAATATGACCACTAAAATTCGTATCTTGATTATTAAAAATAATCTTTAAAATGACGTATTAATATTTTTTAATTAATTTGAAGAAATATAAAGTTACGTGACTAAAAGAATGAACAATGTTTGACTATCAAGAAATTAATGATTTGATAATGTATTCGTCAAAAGATTAAAAAATATAAAATTTTCATTTCTATATAGAATATTTTCTTAATATCAAATATGATAAACTATTTAACAGGGAAAATTTGACAAGAAAAAAAAAATTAATATTCAAATTCTAAGGAATAATAAAATACAAACTAAAGAAAATGAGTAGTTAAAAAATAAAGAAAAAACAAAAAATGAAAATGTCAATAGAAAAGGGCTTGAGAAATATAGAAGAAGAAAAAAACTAGAAAATAAATAATAACTTGAAAAAAATAAACAAGTATATTCGTTATTTTGTGGGGGTAAGATTCAAAGTTTTCTTTTACGGCATGATATTTAGAGTGTAGTATCAAAAAAAATTATTAATGTAATTTAGAATATAACATTATGTCAATTGTTATCGCATATAGAAATAAAATTGCTTTCATGACTGTATTTATTTTTGTGGAGTTAAAAATCAATATTTTAATAAATACTTTCAATATTTAGAATATACTATTATGATAATTGTTATTGTATATAGAAATAAATTTGATTTCATGATTGTTTTTATTGTTGTGGAAGTTAGAAATCAAGTTTTTAATAAGTACTTTCAATATTAAAACCAAAATAAATAGAAGTATTTCTATTATCAAAGACAATAATGAAATGTATCACAAAATTCACCGACAAAGCAAACTACAAACACATTATACTTAAGTTGAAGCAGTAGAGATTTAAAAGGCTTTGAATCGATCTTTACGAATTGGTTGATCAATGATTAGTACTTTATCAGATGCAAAACTTATGGTGTAAATATTACAAAAAGAAGATGATAACATTGTAGAAAATAGATACCACTTGCAAAAATATATGAAGATCGATGAACTTTTTCAAAGATATCAACATTTTATATATTCCTCGAATGTGAAATGTTTTAACTCATAGTCTAACGCAATTCTCTATTTCCTTGCTGCATAGAAGTTTTTGGAATTCAACTTTCTCAATTTGGGTTGTAAACGACGCATTTATGTCGTATGAACATTTGAAAAAGATTATTAAGTAATATATTGAAGTTGTTTACTGTTAAAAAAAAATAGTATAAAGTATAGAAATTTCATATATTTAGAGGCTAATTACATCCTATCCCAGAAGTTTCCTCGATTTACAAAAATCTCGAATTTTTCGTTGCTCTCGAATACATTCCTTGGTTGTCTGATACATTACTAATGATATAGATTACTTCATGGGAGGGATGTATCCAAGAGGGGATATCTATGATTCGAGAGGAGATGGATGTATCCGAGAGGGGATTATGATATCTTAAGTTGTGAATTTATGTAATTTTTTCAACAAAATATGTGAAATTATATTGGGCCGTATCATGGGCCTTAAATTATCTAATAATAGTAAAAATTTAAAAACATGACACTACGCGAATAACAACTAATACTACTAATGTAAAGCAAACACTTTAGCAAATCTGTTTTTTTTTTTTAAAGTAATTTATATAAATGTAGATAAACACTGCTAATCATCTAATTAAATTAAAACTAAAGATAAATTTCAGTTTCTTATTAGGGGTTACAATAATGTAATACATGACTAATTTATACTTTTGGCTTAAGCAAATTTGTAAAAACTTTTATTCACTTTTTATAAGTAAAAAAAAATGAAAAATCATACGTTTAAGCCAAGCTGACGTATACCGAAGTTGCAACACCGAGCGCGTAAGCACCAATCGCCGCGGCAATCAATTCTTTCCCAGGCTTTACCACCGCACCAACGCCAGCAATCCCCAAAGCACCTACCGGAACCCGCTTTAGCAGCTCTTTCCCTGCACACGAAACGACAGCGTCCGCAAATACCTCCACTGAAAACTCCTTAAATTCCTTGTTCCCAAGCACAATTTCACTCTCCTTTTCGCCGGATCGGCGCGTTGACACGATTTTGAAGGCCTTATCGACTTGTAATCGGTTCGGAGGCGATTTAACCCAATTTGTTATGAGAGGGACGGAGGGATAGAGAGAAGCGTGTAGGCGTTCCACGGCGGAGAAAAGCTGGTAGGGTTTCACTCCGGCGAAAGCGTGCTGTGACAGGGAGAGACAATCATCATAGACTGAGTCACATGCCGAGTTGAATTCGGATGAATTTTGGAGTGAATTGCTAACTCGCTTAGAAGCTGAGAGCCCCATAGCTGTAAGTTAATTTTGTTCTTCTTCTCTCTGCTTCACATATTTTGGTGCTATCAGAAGTTTTGACCCGAATTTCTCATGGGTCAGATACAACCATATCCGGCCCATAAATAGGATATCCATGTCAGGGGACCGGGGTAAGTGTACAGATAGCCGAGTATTTAAGATATAGCCAAATTTCAATTTTTTTGCACTTTTAATCACTTAAAATAACTTCATACGTGCTTATCAAAGGCTTTTATTAGATCAAACTTTCGCCATTTTTATATGAGGTTATAAGATTATCGACAAGAGAAAATTGGGTGACATGAAATTTAGGCATCATGTCATGTCCGTCAAAATATTTTTTTTCCTTTGGTCTGGATTTTCGGATTAAAAAAAACATGCTAAATAGTGCTGACAAATAATTTGTACAAGATTTCAAGCTACAACATTGAAAAATGTTGCTAGCCAAATTTGAATCCACGCGCCTACTAGTTTTTGAACCCCTATAACCGCCCAAGCCCGCTCACTTGTGTTGAGGGGCTCAATATTGAATATATGGACATAGAATACATTCTATACATCGTATAATTTTTCAATTCAGGAGTTCGGATAAAAACTCTCTAACTCCAAGTAGATCCACCCCTGCCTCTAGTACGAAATATGAAAAAGTAATAAATATCAAATAACTTTTGATTGTATTGTTTTTGAAGAAAACTAAAATCTAATAAGAGTATTAAATTCTGAAAGTTATTAAAATAGACATAAAAAGGGAATATCATTTTCTGATAAAAACCATCACACTACACACAAGAAAGGGAAAGTAAGGATTGGGACTTATTTTTTCATAATTACAATACCTTACTATTCTTAAAACAGAGAAACAAAAAAAAAGACGATCCATTTTTGCAATTAAACTCAAAGCTTAATTAAAAGGCACCAGCAGACTTTTTTTTTTATGCATGTGCATCATCTCCAACCCAAACAAGATCAGCTTGTGACATCCAATGACAAACCTCTCCTTTTCCAGGTGAAAAATTCAACTTTTTGAAAACTGGATGATCAGCTGGCCATGAAGAAGTATCCATATGACAAACAACCATAGCTGTATTAACATGAGCATTAGTGTTTAAATCAACTAACTCCACCGCGTAAATATTAGTTGAAGATAGCAAATGACAAAAGTAAGTAGCAAAAGGAAGGAATATCTCATGGCATGAGACACTCTTTTGGGAATTGATTTTATGAAATTTCTCAATTTTTAGTTTCTGTCCTGACCCTTGTATGCTATCTGTTGTCAATGAAATTAGGTGGTTTTGTTTCAAGGTAGTCTTTGAGAACTCTATCATTTCTTCTAAGGATTTCGCGCATGTTTTAACTTCTCCTTTTAGAGTAGGTGCATTGCAATTGAGGATGGTAGTTTTTGTGGTATCTTTTGTGAATGGTGAAGTGAAAGTTTGAGGGAATAAATGTTGGAGATGGTTTGAGTTAATGGAGATCTTTGAGGCAATTTGAGAAGGAAGAAATGAACGATGAGGGAACGGGTTCACTAAGTTGTCGAGATGGACTGTGTTTCCAGGTTTGAGGGTAGAGACTCTAAAGAAAGAGACTTCTCCAAGATGATGACTATTAGAGTGTGAAGTTGCAAAAATTTTTGATGTATACACCTTAGTTTGATTAGGAATTTTGGAGGGATAAACTTTGGCTTGATTTGGGAGTTTGGAAGCATAGACTTTAGCTTGATTGGGGATTTTGGTTGTATAGACCTTAGCTTGATTAGGAATTTTGGAGGGATAAACTTTGGCTTGATTTGGGAGTTTGGAAGCATAGACTTTAGCTTGATTGGGGATTTTGGTTGTATAGACCTTAGCTTGATTAGGAATTTTGGAGGGATAAACTTTGGCTTGATTTGGGAGTTTGGATGTTTGGGCATTAGTCTCAGAAGTACAAAATATATCAGCAAGCAAACAACTTTGAGCATCAAAAGAGAATGCCTTTTTGGACACTAATGAAGTGTAATATTTAGAGTCAATCATGTTCATTGGAGATAATTTAGAAACAAGAGCTTGAGGCATTTCATTGACAACATTTTCTTTCCAAAACTTGAGCTCATTAGAACCCACATATGGTATAGAATTACAAGTAGAAGAAGCAAATAAAGACAAGACACTTAACAAGAAAAACATGAACCAATATGAAGTAGCCATTTCTTTTTTTTGGAAGACTTGAATTAGTGTTTCTTGAGATATTTTTATCTTAAGAAACTTCCTTATTTATAATGTAAAAATCCCAGACATTTTGATATCAAGTTGCACTTAAATAATCATAAAGCTCTGGAAATTACGTATATTATACACAAGTAGAAGTCTCTTTTTCATGCAAATGGCCAATTTAGAGATTGGGACAAGACAATGGTGAATTGGTGATAATACTGCTGCTTGCATTATTAGCTAAAATGAGAAAATAGTGATTAGACACTGTTGAAAAAGCAACTATAGTATTACTAGTATCTTTTAGAGATGCATGTATTTTTGTTACCAACTTGAAAATGATTAAGTTAAAAGCCAATAGTGGATTATCCATAAGCCATGATAAAAAGGAGGGAAAACAAATACTCTAATAAACTTTAAGCTACATCACTATTAAATTACTAGTCCTCCACGCTTAACTAAATATTTTAAGTTCGAGCTATTAAAAACGAGAAAAAAATCATGTTAGAAACATTCCCTTCAAAATGACTCCAACAGTGCGAATACAAATTTATCCAACACTAACTGAAAAACAAAAAAACAAAGAGAAGAAAATAGAAGTGTGTCCACCAGCAAATCAAAGAGATATATATTTAATTATGTACTTTTCTTCCTTGTGAATTGTAAATTTGTTATGCGATTATTCATGATTTAATCTACTTCGCGTTATAAGAGAAAAATGGCATAAATAAGTATGATTTGTAATATTGAAACAAAGTGAATAATTATTTGGTACCATAAGTAAAAAAAATGACTGTTGACATTCTATGAGAGGGCGCAATGTGGCAGTGACTTGCCAAAAAATAGTGATCAATTTTTAAAAGAATTAAAAAAATTTAAAAGGGTAAAGGAGTTTAAAGGGAAAAGAGAGTCGCCACCTAATTTTTGGAAAACTAGGAAATCAATTAACAAATTAACTTAAAATAAATGTCTATGAAACCAATTGATTCTAGATAAGGTGTTCAAGTTATTCTGAAGGGAAGGGGTTTGACATCAAATATGGATCCCGACTAAATTCATTTTTTCAAATTAAGGATGAGAATAAAATAATGTACAAGTATAATAAACATGCAATATACACAAGTAATATGATAAAACAATAATATAGGAATCGGCCTAAATTTGCCTATCGTCAATAATATACAATATTGAATAAGAGTATAATTCGAACAGCTTCAATGGAAAGCACCTCCTGGTACCTGTAAAGACACTTAGTAAAAGTGTTAGTAATAAATTAACATGAATAAAAATAAATGAATCAACGAATAACTTAAAAATAAGAATCCGTCTTATTAACATGGAAGACCTTGGAAATCTACGATAATTTCTTCATCGGCCAATTTTAACATATAAAGAATATAAACATGAACTAAATTTCCATCTTTTAAAATGAGGAGGCCTCCAAAATCGACGAAGAGATTTTCTCATGTTGGTTGCACCGCACCGAAAAAGCACTCTCTGGGAAATCCGGATCTTTCTCAAGTTATTGCAAAACTTCGGAATTTCATTCTATAAGGTAGGGCTTTAGTTCCTCCTCAGGGCGGGCAAAAAATAGAGTATAGAATAAAAGGGTCCTGGCTTTCGTACTTTGGTGGGTCTCCGAGATCCTTTCGATGACCTATGTTGAAGGGATATCTATCTAATCCAATCGATTGCGTAAAGCCCGCGGTAGCAACGGAACCGGGGAAAGTGCTAATGCCTTTTTTGACACTAGACATAGGCTGCTAGGAAGAGAGTCGCTCTGCGAGACGTCTAGTAGTCTCTGACTTGGTCTTCGAATCCTAAGTCTCAGCCCCTTCCCGGCTTGCCTCGACCATTTTTAACAAACAAAATATATGAATTTAACTAAACAATGAAAATAACAAAGGACCCAAAGTGAACATGAAAATAATCTTAACAAGTAGCTTATACTAATATTTTCCAAGTTAAAAACAAATAACACTAACCTAGTCACCTAAAGACTCATCACCACAATAAACTTGCTTAAGCAGAATAACAATTCTAAAAAAAAAGAACTCAATAACGAGAAGAGACAACTTCACCGGATTTAGCGTTCACTACTATACCAAAATATTAAAATAATGAAGAACAAAAACAAGTGTTAGCTATATAACAAAACATCACAGAAACATAAAATATATTAATCTACCAACAATTATTAACAATAATAAAATAATAACAATTAAACCACAACCGTCAGAGGCGTTTCCAGAATTTTAAGATGATGGGTGCATTGTTATAAAAATATTGATCTATGATATAAATTTAATCTTGACATTTAGGTTTTTACTACTGAAAACCGTTAAAATTTTAAAATTATAGGTCTAAAATATATATATATATATATATATTACCAATTACCACTTAGAGAAGTGTTATTTAATTTTAGAAAGAATAATAAAACAATATAAATATAAAATTCAAATTTCTAACCTCACAGAAAGAGGTGCACCCGGTCATAATTGCATTATGTGATACTTCAAGTGTGGGTTCACACATCTATATTTCAATATCTTTTAAAAAAATATAACACTACTATATATGATCTCGGGAGGGGACCATGGGTTCACGTGAACCCGGTGACCCCCATAAATACGCCTCTGACAACCGTGAATATTAAACAAAACAAAAATAAAAGTAATAGAAAACTAATAACCACTCAATAGAAGCCATAAAATTTATCAAAAATAATAACTTATAGGACCCGTTTGGTAGGAGGTATTAAACAAAATAATCCATGGATTAAAATTTAGTCCAACAAAAATATTGTTTGGTTACTTTATTTAATCTAATCCATGGATTAGCTATACTTCATACAAAGTTTTATTTTATTCCTAAAAAAGGAAGGGATAACTAATCCAAGGTTTAACAATCCTTGGATAAGACCCCTAAATGACTAAACTATCCCCAAATCTTTTTTCCTACTTTTTTTTTATTTTTTTTGTAATTTAATGTTTTTTTAAAATTTATTTATATGGGAATATTTATAAATATTCTTTTAAATTCACCAAATTCATTCAATGTGATTTGATGATTTCACAAACTAATATTTTTTTCTTCGTGTTTGATTTGTTATATTGGGCTGATTTTTTTTGCTTTTTTAAAGGGATAAGGGTCTGAAAAATACCCCAACTTTGGTCGGATTTGCTATTGTGATACTAAACTTTCATGAGGACCTATTACCTCCCTAGACTATTTAATACTGTATTTAAACATATATATTTGCCCACGTGGACATAAAAAATAATGTAAAATTATAAATAGTAATGTGTCCACGCGGGCACATATATGCCTTTAAAATATACTATTAAATAGTTCAGGGAGTAAAAAATACGGTATTAAATAGTCTAAGAAGGTAATAGATCCTTGTGAAAAATTAGTATCGCAACAACAAATCCGACCAAAGTTGGATATTTTTCAGATCCTTATCTCTTTTTTAAATGTAGTTCGTCGATTGACCATTTGAACTTTTTTTAAAAAAAATAATATAAGCTTCGTGTATTTGAACAATTTAAGTAGCCTTAAATCTATGTTAAGTTTAAAGTATATTTGACCAAAAAAAAATTTAGAAATATACCGTGCTATCAATGATGTTTATAGTGGCATATCACACCTCAAAAATAATAAGGCGAAAGGGTCTAGTGAACTCATGTACTTGTATCTATTTATATTGTGAACCCTTCTACTTAACTATTTACCAACTAAACTCTTAAACTCAATTAAAAAAAGATTTTTAAACCCCTCCAACTATGTGTGTAGCTCACTCTCCTTTGAATAGATGACATGTCAAATCCATGTCATTAAAATTAATTATATATCATCATTTTCTTCACTAATTATTATTTAAAAAAATTATTAACTAAAAAATAAAATAATAAGAATTTAATTTATTTCTTAAAGTAAAATTGGGCTCCTCTGCCTGCACACCGTTTTCCTTTCCTCTTCTCCGATCACAGAACCATCGCAAATGTCCACTAGCTCTGGCTGACAACCTTTTTGCCGTCGTGACCAGTTTCTCGTGTCATCTCCCGCCTTGTTCTCCTTTTCACTATTTTCCTTTCTCCACACCACCGACGACCCCTGCGAACCACCAAAAATGGCGTCTCCTCTCCATCCTCTCGTTGTACCATCAAACTCCCTTGTCGCCTCTTATTCTGGCGGAAAAGGGACCAGCATCTTCTCCCATTCTAGCGAAAAAAGGGACCAGCGCCGCCTCTCTCCCTCTCAAACCACTGTGAACCTGCGAGAACCACTATGAAATCAACGCCGCTCTCTCCCTCCACTAATAATCGCCATGAAACCTGATGTCACGAAAGTGTCAATGCCAAGATCGACTAAAGAAGATAACGATAGGGTGTGGAGAAGAAAGATAAATGGGGTTGGGGCAGCGATGGGGTAGGGATGGCTGATAAAGAAGGTGGTGTGGGGAAAAAGTTTATTTTTTATTTTTTTTAAATTTCTTATTTTATTTTTTTATAATTTTAATAATTTAAAATTTAAAATATCATGTTCACTTGCCTTAACACGCGTGTAGTCACACTCTCTAGCCAACTCATCTATATTAATGCCACATACGCATAGTCAATGGTCATAGGGGTTTAATATGTTATGTTTTATTGAGTTTAAGGGTTTAGTTGAGAAAATGTTAAGTAGAAGGGTTAGCAATACAAACTTATACAAGTATAAGGGTCTACCAGACCCTTTTGCCAAATAATAATAATTTTTTTTATATTTTAGTATTTAACTTGACTAGTTAAATGAAATATAAAATCTCATAATAACTCAAGGATATAATAGGAAATAAACTTTTTCTAGAGTTTTAAACCAAACATAAAATTAGGTGAAAAACAATAAATCAAATATTTGATAAAAACTAATTCATGCGTCAGTAATCCATGCATTATGAATCTTCGTACCAAAGGACTCCATAATAACTTAACATTCTGCAAGCTAAATCACCATGAAAAAATATAAATTATTTAGAAGATAATACTAAAATCAGCCCCAATAATTTGAACAAGCAGTAAATGAACGAAATAAATAAACAATACTTACCTGATAATCGGATCTGCTAATCACTGGAGATGGAAAATTT